GAAAAATTCTTACGACTTACCTAAACACACCAAGCATTCGTCTTGAAACTTTAGATCAATTATAGAGAGGAGCATTTAAAACAGGTCACTTGAATAACTCACTTGTTTTTAACAATCGAAGAAAAAGTGTCAAACAAAAGTTACTTAGTTTCGAGGGGTATATAATGTGATGTCAATAATTGTTTTGTAGGTAGAGGCGTAAAGCGGATAGATAAAGGTCAAAGTATCTCTTTTTTTAAATGGAATAATATGTTTTTTTATTTATATTCTGATAGAGCATTTTAAGACGAATACAATGACCTATAATTGAAGGTCATTCAAGGTTACACTAGGTCAATAATGGATAATAATTGAATGTAATGGAAAATAAATTATTTCAAGACACTCTTCGAATAATTTCGTGTCTTCTCTTCTTGTTGATGTATACTGCTAATCGTTCAAGTGTATCACGGTATGTAAATAAACATTGAAGATAAACATTGAAGGTTTATTTAAACTTAACAAAGTTAGTTGTAATTGAAAATAAATTGTTTGGAGGCATTTTTCGAATATTTCACTTATTTACATATTTGCATTGTAACTTACCGAAATAAGTTCAAAATGATAATCCTGAATATCGACGCATTTTCTGAAACGTGTCGACACAGATAACATTGCACGACGAATTTCATTCGGATCAATCGCAACGCAAGCTCTTCTTATACGCTTCTTATATGTCTTTTCTTGTTATCGGCATTTCGCTGTATACTTGTTTTAATTTTTCCCACAAATAAAAATCCATAGGTGTTGAATCTGGAGAACGTATAGCCTATCTGTTATTTCCTGATCGACCAATCCAACGATCTCCAAATTTTCTGTTTAGCAATTCAGTAATAATCCGTGGAGGACATCCATCTTGCTGGTACTACATTGATTGTCGTACGTTCAGTGGAAGATCTTCTAATAATAGTGGCAATATTTCTGTTAAAATCTTGCATACTTGCGACTATTTAATGTTCCATCGATAAAATAAGGACCAATTATTTTATCATTAAGAATTCCGGCCCAGACATTTATAGATCAAGGTCTCTGTCCACTTCTCTCGTCCAATGTAGGTTTTCTATTGATCAATAGTGCATGTTGCGAAGATTTACTTGTCCATTGTTTGTAAATGTAGCTTCGTCACTAAATAAGATTTTAGAAACATATCATCTTCTTGTAGTCTTTGTAGTGCCCATTCACAAAATTGTACACGATTTTGAAAATCATTGTCATGTAACTCCTCACGAAATGAGATATGGAAGGGATGAAATTTGTTGGAATGGAATATTCGCAGAACACTTTGTCGACGACATACACTTTCACGTTCAAGCTGTCTTGTACTGATATGTGGATTTAGTGCTATAGCGGCTAAAATGTTCGTTGAATTTCTGTTGTTAGTTGCTTTCTTGATTCGTTTTTTTATTATCCACACTTTCTGTTTCTTGAAAAGTTTGTATTATGTTTTAAAAAATAGAGAATGAGGGATGGATACGATCGGGAAATCTTTCAGTATACAAACGTACTGCTTCTCTAATTTGACGACATTCACCACAGACGAAAATCATATCGACTTTTTCCGCTTTCATATAACGCATTTCGCAAGACATTTGACGATAGATGAATTCAAACTGATCAGTAAATATGGATAATGCTATGTGGGATTCAATTTAAACGGTATGTAAATATTTACATACATTTGAACGATTAGCGGTATACCAACGAGAAGAGAAGAAAAAAAAATTATTCGAAGAGTGCCTTGAAACAATTTATAATTCATTACATTTAATTATTTTCCATTATTGACCTTGCGTGACCTTTAATTATAGGTCATTATATTCGTCTAAAAATGCTCAAAATGTAAGTAAAAAAACATATCATTCCATTAAAAAAAAATAGATTTGACTTTTGCTTATCCTCTTTTTACGCCTTCACTTACAAAAAAATTATTGACATTACATTTTGTGTCTCTCGAAACCAAGCAACTTTTATTTGACACTTTTTCTTCTATTGTTAAAAACAAGCGAATTATTCAGGTGACCTGTTTTAAATGCCCTTCCCTGTATAGTCAATTAAATCACATCGTAAATATGTTAATTATATAACAATTTTGCACATAAATTATCAATAAATATATTAAACATATACAGAATAAAATAGTCATGTTAGCTAGAATATGTCAGGCATATAAACTGGCTGACGAACTTTGTTTTTAAATGTATCTTGTCGGTCATTATATACGTACCGGAAAGATAATCGTCAATAAAAAACTAATAAAAACTAATGATAACGTTACATACGGAACTAAAAGTTTATTACATATCATTTAATATCGGTAAATAAATGTGATGTATAAAGCCGTTACGTATTAGTGTTCCATCTAATATGACTCTTGTATTCATTTATTTTAATCTTCAATTTCCTTCCAATTGGACCACATACATGGTATGTCGCATCACAATCATTACACTTAAACTGCATTTTTTTTTTACATATCTTGGAAAAGTATCTTTTTGCACTTTGATGACCTACTCAGTTTATTTTAAATGCTCGTCTGTTATGTGCCTGACATACGAGGTCTGTTCAAAAAGTATCGCGAATTTTGTGTTTTTTCAAAAATTATTTATTTATTCATGAATATCTATTTTGTCCCCTTCAAAGTAATCCCCATCAGATATTATACACTTGTGCCAACGTTTTTTCCAATCCTCGAAGCACTTCAAAAAATTATTTTTTG